CGTCACGCGGGAGCTCCACACGCTCGACCGCCGTTGTACTCTTAGGTGGGAACCCATGCTCGACCACCGTCTTGTTCTTCGGTGGAAACCTATGCTCAACCACCTTAGTTGTTGCCGACGGGAACTCACGCTCAACCGCCAACTCAGTCTCCTCGCGCAGCGGCGAGGAGTTCAAAACTCCCATATCATCAAGTAGCACCGCACAAGTCGTGCAGAGAGGGCCATCGCTCACTCTGTGCACCGATTGAATCGTTGAGAGTTGATCAACGACGGTGACGTGAGGCCAATCTCTTGGCGAGACCAAGAGGTGAGTGAACACTTCAGTGACGTCGAAGTCGCGTCGGCGCTTGACGGACCTTGATAGCCAGTCGATTTCAGGCTGGTACCGTGTCAGCCACGGCATTCCAAGAATGCAGTCGAACGCGTAATTCATCTCGATCACCAGGAAATCATCCGTGCTGGTGAAGCCATCGAACGTGTATGGGAGTGATATCTCACACCGCTTGACGTGGTGAGCCTTCCCGTCCGCGAGTTTCGACACAACCTCGCTCTGTCCTTCACGGACGGGGGTCTCCGTTGGCAACACCGACAAGCACGACACGCGAAAGAAGTTGTTCGTCGCTCCGGAATCGAGGAGTGCGCGTAGTGGACGTCGGGCGCCGGCGACATGGAGACTAACAATGATCAGCCTCGTGTCGCCTCTGCAGTGGTGGCATTGCAACGTGTATGTAGCACGGGAGGGCTAGAAGGTTCGAGTGCCACCAGTGGGCCCGGACCTCCGTTCCAGCCAGTAGGGCGTCCCGTACCTACTGGCCCAGGCCGTTTTTTTTTTTTTTTTGGCTGACCGGCCTGGATAGGGGTGTCGACCTCGTCGACAACGGCGTTCGCGGTGGCAGGAGCTGGCGCGCGACAGACCGCCGCGCGATGACTCAACTTCCGGCAGCGGAAGCAAGTCAATGGACGCAACGTCCTACCTCCACGGTTCGCGGGGGAATCAGGAGCCTTACGATTGGTTGAGGCCTCGATAGCGTCAATCTCCATGGGCTCCGGAGTACTCTCCAGTTCCTTCGTCGACAGAAACCGGGCGTACGACGACGTCACCACATAATCCTCGCGAAGCGCGAGGACGAACGCTTTCTCTAGCGTATCAGGTTCCGCCCGGGTGAGATTGTACCGCGTCATACCTTCGCGCATGCCAAACACGAAAACATGGACTTGTGATGCCATGTCAACCGGCTTCGTGATAATACGCGAAGTGAGGTGCCATGTCTTCTAAACGTAGTCTCGCATCGACATCTTACTCTGTTTCAGGGCGAAGAAAGCGGCGCGAACCCGGGACTCGTCCTGTGGAGGTTCAAAGGCGAGACGCAGGTCACTCTGGAGTGCCTCCAGAGTCGGGAACGCTTGAAGCTCGACGACAAGCTTGCCAAGGGCCCACTCTTTGGCTTGTCCGGATAGTCGGGAGAGGAGGAAATTCACCTTGGACGACGGCGCCTC